TCAGGATCTGTATGTACCTGTAGCAAGCCATACAGGATTAACCCGTATAGCAAACACATTCAGAATCTGTATGTACCTACAGCAAACAATTCAGGATTCACCCTTATAGAAAGCACATTCAGGATGTGTATGTACCAATAGCAAACCATTCAGGATTCACCCTTGTAGCAAACGCATTCAGGATATGTATGTACCTATAGCAAACAATTCAGGATTCACCTTATAGCAATCACATTCATGATCTGTATGTACCAATATCAAACAATTCAGGATTCACCCTTAAAGCAAACACATTCATGATCTGTATGTACCAATATCAAACAATTCAGGATTCACCCTTATTTCAAACACATTGAGGATCTGTATGTACCTATAGCAAACAATTCAGGATTCACTCTTATATCAAACACATTCAGGATCTGTATGTACCTGTAGCAAGCCATACAGGATTAACCCGTATAGCAAACACATTCAGAATCTGTATGTACCTACAGCAAACAATTCAGGATTCACCCTTGTAGCAAACGCATTCAGGATATGTATGTACCTATAGCAAACAATTCAGGATTCACCCTTGTAGCAAACGCATTCAGGATATGTATGTACCTATAGCAAACAATTCAGGATTCACCTTATAGCAATCACATTCATGATCTGTATGTACCAATATCAAACAATTCAGGATTCACCCTTATTTCAAACACATTGAGGATCTGTATGTAACTGCAGCAAACCATTCAGGATTAACCAGTATATCAAACACATCCAGGATCTGTATATACCTCTAGCAAACAATTCAGGTTTCATCCTTATAGCAAACACATTCAGGATCTGTATATACCTCTAGCAAACAATTCAAAATTCACTCTTATAGCGAATACATTCAGAATCTGCATGTACCTATAGCAAACAATTCAGGATTCACCCTTGTAGCGAACACATTCAGAATCTGTATGTACCTACAGCAAACAATTCAGGATTAACTCATATAGCAAACACATCCGGGATCTGTATGAACCTATAGCAAACCATTCAGGATTCACCCTTATAGCAAACAATTCAGGATTCACCCTTATATTAAACACATTCAGGATCTGTATGTACCTATAGCAAACAATTCAGGATTTACCCTTATAGCAATCACATTCAGAATCCGTATGTATGTAGCCTTCGCCACCTAATTGCATAATGGAATACCTCTCCTATTATTACCAAACGCTTCAGCGTGGTATTAAGAGTTTGTTTTCAGGGGTGGATGATACCAAGGTGGGAAATGGATGCACATATGGGGTTAATTCCTTGAATTGCAAT